AACTGTTCAACTCCTCTGTTCAGCACTTACCTCACTACCACTCTGTAACTCTTACCCACCCCCTGGGCTGAAATTGTTCCTTACTTCGGTCGCGCCGAAAAAAAGTCTTCGGAAGGAAGTTATCGGAAATGTTGAAATTTCCCGCGCGTGAAAGCTATTGTTTTACGTTGATCGTTTTTGTCCTTACAAGGCAAGAAACGATCAAAAATAACAATACAGAACAATACCTATTGTTCTCGAATTCAGGTCGCTTTTCTTGATACGATAGGGGATTTGTATAACAATTCAGGTAACAGATTCAAGAAGATAAATACTCGAGGAGTGTTCAATGAAAATCTCTTTATACCTTATTAACTTGGTATGTTTCCACTACGTGTACTGACTCGAGAAATCGCTTAAATCGCAACGGATCGGGAAAACAACCACACACTAGCAAGAACACACCAAGTCTGAAACGGAGAATGACAAACAACAAATACAACTTCCTAACTCAACCTAACCTTCCTAACTTAATTTAAGGTAACTTAGGTTAAAGTCAAAGTCGGGGACTGGGAGGGCTTCACCCCCACCCCCACCTCGTCCCTATCGTCCCTTCTTTCTACTGAAAAATACAGACTGTAGGAGACTCTCTTTAGCCTCCACTTCAAATCTCTAGCCAGCGCACCTGGAAAAATGTGTGTAGTAGTCCAAAGACGTCCGAAAACGTCTTCTGATAATTCAAAGTAATAAGGTATGGGTAATCACTCCGGGATGGGACAAGTCTTAAGCCAGGCGAAAACAGGTGGCGAAAAGTAGAAACGAACAGGATCAGCTCCGATTTACTCGTAGGTTGGGAGGGTGGGTCGCTATACTCTTTACCTTCGCAGCCTTCAGTGGAGTGAGAGCACAGACGTTCTTCACTTCTTCGGTACCTTGTTCAGTGTTACTACCGATCCTACGTTGTAGCCTGCGAAAACAGCCGTCTCTCCTCACTCCTCGCCGCCGAAACGTCTTTAGCGGCGAGGAGCGAGGAGGGACCGGCTGTTTTCGCAGGCTAGTTTCAGTGGCGGATCCAGGGGAGGGACCCGGGGGGCCCGGCCCCGCTCCCTTATTTTTAGACCAAATTGAGGCCCGAAGGGCCAAAAAAGAAAATATTTTTTTGAGACCGGAGGCCTTCCCTATCTGAAGGTCTGGATCCGCCAGTGAGTTCCCTTGCTTCTTGTTGCAGACAAACCGTGGATGCTCGGAACTGGTTAAGCTGGGGATTATAACTTTAATTATGATGATCAGAATCTTCACACTGCTTTTTCAATCAATCAATCAATCAATCAATCAATCAATCAATCAAATATTTATCATGTTGGGATACATAAAAGGGAACGTCAGAGGTTGTCCCTATCGAGGACACTCCCTACATATACGTATATACATGTATATACTGTGCAATGTAAAACTTCAGAATAATTAAGAAATGGATAAAAAATTTACAAAATTTTACAATACTTTCTAAGTTTACTTCGAAAAATGCTGAAATTCTGTTCGTGCACTATCTCTTTAGGAACAGCGTTCCACTGTTTAATAATTCTAACAAAGAATGAGTGCAAAAAACAATTTACTCTAGCTAATGGCTGTCTTCATTTAAATGAATGTTTGATCTTGTTTTACCATAAGAATAAAATTCAAAATAATCATTACAGTTGACGCCATTAAGACCATGAATAGTCTTGTAGCACTCTAGCAAAGATAGATAGGCCTCCTTGATTGATCCACCTAAGCATTGCCAGTCTTTCTTCGCAGGGAGATTCCCTAGATGACATTGGAAGGGCGTATTTCGAGGCCCCACGTTGGACTCGTTCAAGGGTGTCAATGTTCTTCTGTAAATAGGGTGACCAGAGAGGGACAGCATATTCCAGAATGGGTGTAACCAAGGCCTTGTACAGACGAGAAAAGACTTCCTTGTTCCCTGCACCAACATTCCTTTAAAGGAAACTCACAATCTTGTTGGCTTTATTTACAACTTTCTGCGTTTGGGTGTTCCAGGATAGATTAGAAGTCAATGAGACACCCAAATCAACCGTTTCGGTGACAGACTGAAGCGTACAACCAATGAGCTTGTAAGGATAGCTAGTATGATCTCTCGCATGGCTAACACGTAGAACCTCACATTTAATTTGTCAGGGTGGAAACAAAGTTGCCAATTTTCACTCCATTTCTGACGCTTGTTGAGGTCACATTGAAGTTGTTTCTCGCCATTTTCATTGGAAATAATCCCGTAAACCTTGCTTTCATCTGCAAACAGGCGCATGCTTGACCTTACGCCAGTTGTAATATAGTTAATATAGGCAAGGAACAGGACTGGCCCAAATACACTACCTTGGAGAACACCAGAGGTGACCATCGTCCAAGGAGAAAAATGCCCGCGGAATTTTGGGCTAAGTGAACTAAGTAGAGCCAGATTCTACAATCATTCGAGTGTACGTAACACATCAGTGCTGCCACACACAAGAAAAACCACACCCTGCATTTCACAATTATTACGAGATCTGGTGATAAACTGGTACAGAAACCGTCACAGATGGGTGCTGGATCAGCTGGATCCTATGCTATCAGATCATTACAGCGTAGATTACAAACTTTTGATTACAAAAACATCTTTTTCTAGGAAACAAGTATCTTTTCGAAAAACAGGTACCATGTGAACAAGCCCACCGACGTGGATGAGATGTGTTTTGGAATTTCAAATGCTTATTGAAAGATGTAAAGGTTGAAACTGTAATTAACATGCCATTTAAAACCGGTAAACAAGATTGTAGTGAGCACAAGGCACTTAACAATAAAAATAGTTTCAAAAATAAATAAACGCTTTATTTTCAATAACTATAGTTCCTGTACTCAATTACAATTCTGCTGGGTTGAATTCACGAAAGTGTCCCACCCCAGGATATGTCGGACAGCTGTATTTGAATATTTTCAAAACAAATGAGACCCAGCAGGGTAAATAAGTGATGGATCTGTTATTTCCTTATCTGATTAACCAATAAACTAGTTAGAGAACCTGATCGTGATATATGCCACTTGCAAAATAATGAACACGCTAAACTAATCAATAACTTTAATAAATAAAAAGGTTTACGGAGTTCGGTTTTTAACTTCACGTAAGTCTCGTCAACTAGCAATTTAAAAGCAAATTTAGTGACCTACTAAAAAATTACTAACTATGCCGATGAGATAAAAAAACCTTCCACCTTGAACTACGAAAGGTGACTGGCCAACTATCCACAAACCCTCTGCTAAAGAATATAAATTAGAAAGATCCAGTGTTTTTCTTAACGGCTATTACCTAAAGCCCCGTCCACACGTATTCGGATATTTTGAATCCGCAACTTTTTCTTTCCGGATTCAAAAATTTTCACGTCCACACGTATCCGGATCCAAATCGAATTTTTCCGTCTACACGTATCCGGATATTTTTGATTCCGCAAATTTTTCTTTACATGGACTGTCTTGAATATTCACGGCAAATAGTTTAAAGAATAGTAAATACCATAAATCCTCTATTAAGCCCCCCACCCCTCTCAAATAAGCCCCCTTCCTCTAATAAGTCCTCCCTTTTTAGAAGAAGAAAGTTAGTAAGCCCCGCCCCCCATCTCTTTTAAGCCCCCTCCCCTCCCCCATATTTTTATTCACTGGTAAATGATAGACTATATTAATCAATCAGGACGCAACACTTCGTGTGCACTGATCCGGGATGGTTTATTGACCAGCTGGAAGTTCGGATTTGCTTTTGATCCTCGGTTGTATATCCTCCGGCTTCTTGTGATTGAGCTTTTCCTTTTAGCGTTCTAGTTCTTCATGGAGAACTGATACTATCTTCTTTGCTAAATTGAATAAGCCATCTTCAAAATTTCGGTTGAAATAAATAAGCCCCCTCCGGGGGCTTAATAGAGGAGTTAAGGTAAGCAAGGTCCAAGGTGTCACATTTGGTATGATAGACGCTGCGTCAAAATTATTGGAAGGAGACCCCTCCATAAAATAGCACATATATATCTGTTATTACTGCAAAGATAAATTGTAAATGAAGGTATGCTGGCTTCTTAGCCCCTGGAGATGGGAATATGGGGTGTAGTACGTTTATGCCCTATACACCGAGGATTTAGCAGGTTTTTGTTTGATCGTAAAAACAAATCCCCTGGGGTGTCCCAGGAGTTGACCACCGGGAAAGCTAATGATAACCGCATTAGTTTTAGGAGACCAGCCCATGGCCAGGCAGCGTAAAGTGAAAATTATTATTGCAGCAACCGCGATGTTTCATGACGACACTCATATACATACTGAATTACCTCTTCCATTAAACAGATGTGATGCAAATGGACAAGCTTAGTATTGTTCCTGAACCCGTTCTAAAATCCGCACATGAGGGAGAATCCGTTGATGACCCTAAAGGACGAGATTTCCTTGGATCCAGGTGAAGTGCCTATGGCAACGGCGAGTAGAGTGAGAGGCATTCGAGCTGCAACCATGATGTTTGAAGCTGAGCACGGAGAATGCACAGCTGAATGCGCATTCGTGTGTTGCCCTATATAGAGGATGGTCAGATTGTGGTTCAGTTTTACTGATTGAAGAGTCTGGTATTCCAAAATATTTAAAGGAAGAAGCCCAAACGTTTTTCGAAGATATGACTGTGAAGCTGGAGTCGCCAGATCTGTATAACAGCAACGTCAACATACTGAATGTTCAACGGCACGAGTATTCATCCTGGCGAACCCAAATCACTGACTGCTCCTCAGGTTGACGAGTGGATTCTGGAGAAGAGCTGTATTCTTTAATACCCAAGAGAGTACAAGAGGGGCACAAGAACAAAACGACCGCCGGCTTTAATTAGGAGCAAGCATTGGCGTACAGGAAAAGCTAGCATCGGGGACACCAAGTGCTATTGTGCAAAGCGGTAGCACTTACTATGCTCTGTCCTGTGATCATGTAATGAAATCGGAGGACTCAAGGCGTATTGTTCATCCTGGACATTATGACCACCTCAAGTATCCTAAGTTGCGTCGTTCAGTTTCAAAGTGGGGTACCTCGTCACTGTAGCCATGGCGACCAAATCGAAAAGGTTTAAAAGGTGCTTGTGCATCCAACAGGGGACAAGGCGTTTTGCAGCAGAAAACAACCACATCCTGCTCAAAGGTCTTGAACTTCTCTTCGGTTTACTAGAGCATCAATATCATCATTTTATTTTGGCATCACCATTGCAAGTTGTTCTCGAAGCTTTCACCACTGAACACCCAAATGGCAGCGGTTTGGAACTGGTTTCAAAGTACATTGAGGGACACACTAGTTTGAGTTTCATGCGTTCAGGGATTGCAATTTGCAATTTATTTGGCGCGCAACTGTCGAAAAAGAACTCTGAAGAGAGGTGTCGACCAATCGACGTCCATGTAAGAATGAAACTTAAAATTTAGAGGGAACCAATCGGCGATTGTTTGAGTTTGGCTGTGTGCGCGGGTCTTCTCACCTACCGTCACCATATTGACATCGAGAAGACCCAGAGGGTGACGTTGGTAGTTTACTGTTCATTAGGAGTGACCAATAGCAGTTAAGAGTGATTTTAGTAACATTACTCTGATCGTTCATAATCTCGCTCCCCTATGAGGATTAAGTTTCTCACTTTGAACAAAAATGCAACTTCCGTCACCTGGCGAGCAAATTATGATTGACAATACGATAATCATAAGTTACGAATAGTACGTAATTACTTCATTATGAAGTGGTGTGTATTCATAATGCTACGATTAAAATTTATCACCAGTGTTAGCTTTGATGTTAGTGATGCAGATGTGATTATTCATACCTCTCTGTTTACATATTATTAAAAAAATTAAGGTGGCCCTCTTGATTCCCATGCAGGTTCTTAGATAAATTTGTTGCAGTGTTCATTAGCAGTGGGTTATAACAATCGTCAGCGTGTTTTGTGAAAGAGAGAGAGACCTTTATTTATTCGTATCAGGGTCTGAGCCCGTTCAGACGCCTTATGCATATATATCTGTATATATCTAGTGATGTATTCATAATACTTCCATTTCAACTCACTACCAATGTTAACTTTTTTAGTGGACTTAGAGAGATTATACCTGCCTGTATGTATGTTTGATTTTCTTCCAAAAAATTAAGTTTGCTGTCTGGATTCAGATCCAGTTGGTAAAATTGTTGCACGTGCTGTTCATTAGCAGTGACTAATAACCGTTTCCGGATACAGATTTAAAGTGGATTAAAAAATTTCCACTCTGGAGAGCGGATGCAAAAAGTTGCGGATTCCTCTGCCGGATACGCCGGATACGAGTGGACGAAAGCCGTCTGCGGAAAGAAAAAGTTGCGGATTCAAAAATATCCGCATACATGTGGATGGGGTCTAATGGACATCGAGAGAAAGACAATTATCATAGCTATTCCTTATGGATAAATTCTTATGGAACATCATTAAACGGAAGATATTTTGTCAGATTGGAAAGTAACGTTCATTCACTGAGACATGAATGACATTTAGGAAATAAGATAAATTTTTATCGTGGCTGATCAGGAACTTCGCCTGACAGAAAAGAACTCTAGCAAATTCAAATCAACAGTATTTTAAACTGAAAAATATACAGAGACTGGCGAGAAACAACTTGATACAGGCAGTTTCCATAAAGCCAAACGGTTCCAATAAATTCTGAAGGAATATTGTTTTTACAATTCTGAGCTAAAAACGCTTCAGTTTGACAGGAAATATCCCAATGACGAAATAAATATACATGTATGTAGAGATTGGTGATGACTGAACATCCTGATACAGGATAGATCCCATATAAAAAGTTCAAACTAAAGACTATAATTCAACTAAAAATATTTACAGGTTGATCAGAAACACCCTAAACTAACATGAATGTCACTTTTCGAATAAATTTTTACAGCTTTCATTTTTAAATAAATATTTGGCTAAAAGCTCTACAGTCTAATAAGAAACATCCCAATTAAGAGCAAATAAATATATACAAAGATTCGTAATGAACATCCTGATACAGGATAAATTTGTTAAAAAAAACTTTAGTTGCTATAATTCAACTAAAAATAGTGACATTACTATCGTAAATGTTGCTTCTCCAGTAAATTATATGCCGTGAACATCTATTTTATCATTACATTTTGCTAAAAAACTTTAATTTACAGTTTGCTAAGAAACATCCCAATAATACACGTCATTACCATTATTATTAATTCACTGTAAAAAAAAGTTTTGTTTTTTACCGTTTCACACTGGCAATGTGGGAAAATGCAAACACCCACACACAAAAAAAACTTTTTCGACCATGTCAAATGTGAATATTAATTTATGCGTAAGTCTTTAGAAAAATATAAAACTATTTACTTCTTTTAATCTCCGCCGTTTTTACTGGGTACCATTCTGTATCTGTCTCACTGCTAACATCTACTTCTTGCCTGATTTGTGTTTCTTGTTTTTCTCTCCACCTTTAGTTAACAAAAAATAACAGACGTTTGCTATTAACACTGGAATTCACACGACACCGTACAATAGACCTATTCGGCTAAGGGTCTGTTTACATGGAGTGGGGGACCCCGGTCTAGTGGGGTTGGTTTCTTTTGCGCTTTTTCTTCACGCTCTGGGGGACACGAAACAAAAGAAACCTACCCCACTAGACCGGGGTCCCCCACTCCATGTAAACAGGGTCTAACTCAATGTTGTACCCAATTCAAATCTCTTGGGGTTAAAATTCGTTGTGTCTTGTATTTGCATTATAATGTGGCATTCTCATTTAAATGATATGAAAATTCCTGAAACAAAACGTTTTATTCCCAAAGGGTTTGAATTGGGTACAACACTGAGTTAGCCGAATAGGTCTATGGACGCGAAATTGCAGCAATTACAGTTTTTTCAGTGGTTCTTCATGTCAGATCCGTATCTCACTGACTTCAATTGTTATTTACGAACGTGGGGGTCATCTTTCACGAGTGAAACGTGGTCCTCTGAGCGTGGCTGCTGCGGGGCGTTCAGGACTTCGTCGCTCGCTCGGTCGCTGCGCGACCTCATGCATTGAACCTCGCTTCGCTCACTTTTAAGAACTTATGAGAGTCAACTTGTAGCAAATCTACCTCTCTGATAGCAAAAATCATTATTTTATCCTTACCCCAATCCAAATGGGCATCATCTTCGTCCGTTTCTAATCTGCGTTTCTGGCGCTTTACTGTACATACGTCTAAAATGTAATAATGTATTAAAAACCTTGAGTTGTTTTTTATAAGTCGTTTGCTTTAATATGTCGTGAGATGAAATTCAAAACTCGATTAATAATTCATAAGAAAAAAAACAAAAGAAATAAATGTTTAATGAGTGTCTAAATTTTTTAAACCAAAATAACCCCAAATCTAAATATTAGTGTAAGAATGAGTTGATCTATATCAGAGATTTTGAAGCCGTTGAAAAAACTCGCAGTCTTATATTATCAGGATAAAAATTCGAGGCGAGGCCGAGAGTTTTTAAAGCTGATAATATAAGACTGCGATTTTTTTGAACGGAGAAAACAAAGTGTGACAATGGGAAAACCAAGTTTTTCTAGTTTGCTTGACAGATTTACTTCTGTTCTATTTATGGCCTTGTTGACGAAAATAAAATCATAAGTTTTAACAAAAGGGCTCGGAACGCTGTACAGATGTTCCTTCTGCACAGGTTGTTACTAAATAAATGAATGTCATCATTTTTACAAGTGACACGTGGCACTACAACCAAGACTTCCAACAGGCGGCAAAAATTTGACATAACATACTGCCACTTCAGAACCGACAACAACTTCTATTTGTTAAAGTGTCTTTTTAAATCTAACATTACAAGGCAAGAGGTGAATTACCTTCAGGTGATTTGCGTGGAATAAGGCTAACATAGTGAAGCTCACATAAGTGTCCCAGTACAAGCCNTGTTCTATTTATGGCCTTGTTGACGAAAATAAAATCATAAGTTTTAACAAAAGGGCTCGGAACGCTGTACAGATGTTCCTTCTGCACAGGTTGTTACTAAATAAATGAATGTCATCATTTTTACAAGTGACACGTGGCACTACAACCAAGACTTCCAACAGGCGGCAAAAATTTGACATAACATACTGCCACTTCAGAACCGACAACAACTTCTATTTGTTAAAGTGTCTTTTTAAATCTAACATTACAAGGCAAGAGGTGAATTACCTTCAGGTGATTTGCGTGGAATAAGGCTAACATAGTGAAGCTCACATAAGTGTCCCAGTACAAGCCGGTCACGGTCGACACCTTCACGTTGTGGGTTAATCAGTACATCACGATGATGACTGCTGATCACGTGAATGCAGGTATCAAAGCAGTTTGCCGCACCATGGAGAATCACGTGATCGCCCCATGTACCATCGGCCTTCATACTTTGGAGGTAGGCATCCCAAGATGGATGTCCCTCAACAAAATGGAATAGCTCGGTCCCATCCGGCTACAACAAGAAAAATACTATTTCAAATGTTTTATTGATTCAAGAGAGTGTTGATGCACCATTATCAGTATATGCTCCTCTAATGTTCCCATTTTAATCTACTTATTTCTTGAAAGCGAGGAACGACGTCTCCTTGCTCAAGAAGGG